TGCTTGTCCTGGCATCATGGGGCACCTGGAAATGCTGGGAGCTAGTAAAAAGGCTGCACCTAATCCAGAAAAACCTGTGCTCCAGCAAATGGAGGCAAAAACTGGAGAGAATGTGAATTACAGTTGCTAAAAATGCAAGATATAATATGTTGTGGTGGGCAAGAATTCCCCGTGCCCTCCTCCAGCCTTACTATGGAGAAATCTTTGTATTTGTCCCAACGGCAAGAGAGCTCAGCACTGTCTCCTTCATCTGTGCCACACAAGCCAGGCTGAAGGTGGGAACCTGACCTGTAGGAACTGCAAGCGAACGCCTGGATGTGTGCTGGTGCCCATCTACTTGGGGAACAGCTTGTGTTCCTGCAGCTGACTTGATGAGAACTTCAATTAACAAATGCTATTAAAGTAGCTCTCCTCTTTATTTTATTTTTTTTAATGCATAGTATTTCCTGACAGCTTAAACCTTTAATTAACCGGAGATGCTGTCGTGGAAAGTTTGCTAAAGAAGAACGCTTGTGGTTTAATTAAAAAGAAAAAAAATCCCTTACAGTTCCTGAAAAAAATCTACTTGCAACTCCAACGGTGGCAAAAAGCCTGCAGGAATTCCTCCATTTCCCTTTCTGATTGCAGCAGTAGGCGCGGAGGTGCAGAGCGATATCATCACCCAAGTGGAGAAGGTGAGTGTTTCACAGCCTCGTGTTTGACCCTCCAGCTGCAGATGTAGGACAAGCTACAGTTCTGTTATCTGAGTGAGGGAAAGGAGACAGCTGACTACAGAGCTTTTACTTTTTTTAAAGAACTTTAACTTACAATTCTCCTGGTATTAGGGCAGAGCTTTTTCTAACATCTGTGGTCTTCTCTGAGGGTACGCAGGGAGAACGTTGTTCAGCATAAGCACTGTTTTGGCTTTTTTTTTTTTTTTTTGGCTCCCAATACAGCACTAAACCAAAGGCAGAGCTTACCTGCCACCACGACATGGGATAATGTTCACAGTATCTTCAACAGCCTTCATGGTAGCTGATTTTTGAGATGGTAGGCTACTGCCTGAGGTGGCAGAGAGCCCTCGCTGTCATTCACATCCCTGAGGGCTGCGTGTGACAGTAGCCATGGCTAGGAGCCACTGTCTCAGGGCACACTTGCACGCTTGCAGCAGCATGCCACGGGGCTGAGGCATGGTGGTGACAAGTGCTGCAGAGGTGGTGGACCCCCACGGCAAAGCAACGATCTCCCCTTGCTCCTGTGCAAAGGGCTTGCTGGCTTCTCCCTTTCTTCTGCCCATGTTGACTGGATTAGGAACAGACTAGGTGGCCTGGAGTCTCTTTGAACAGCTGCAGATCCAAAAAGAGATTTTTGTTCCTGTATTAAATATAAACTTGGAAGAGTCACCGACATGACTGTTCGCATTCGAAGCACAGCTCCACCCCTAGACAAGTAGGGAATGGTTTCTGAGTCATCCCTGGGAGCAGGCTGGGGCTGTCGGGGTGGCACCTGGGCCGGGGGCATGCGTGGGCTTGCTCTCCTGGAGGCCCTGCACCCAGGCTGGCACCTCGGCTGCTGGGTGACAAGGGACAGCTGGGCTTCTTGTGAAACACGCCAACGCTCAGCACTTGCCAAAGCAGCTATTTGGGAGCAGCTTGATACACTCTTCCTCCTGTCCTGGCCCTGTCCTCAGCATGGTTAAATTCAGTGAGTGTAGCACACGCTCTTGTCCTCAGCATGGTTAAATTCAGTGAGTGTAGCACACTCTCTTCCAGGGGCGGGAGAGAAACTTCTGTATTAGCTTCTTTCCCCAAGCCTGGAGTCGGGACCACAAGGGTACTGCCGACCACTGAATGAAATCCATCTCCCTGTCTAACCACACATAACCATGCTGACCCTTTCAGGTGCTGATCTCTTATTTTTGCAAACAAATGTATTCTGATATATTTGCTACTGCAAGCAGCCCCTCTTCGTGGAGAAGCTGCACGGCCACAAACAGCAGTGAGAGCTGGGCTGCCCCAGACGATGGACTGTACCAGGTCCTCCCCTGGCAGCGGGGCTCCGTGTCCTAGAAGCCCCTTTTCAGTCAGAGCTGGGTGGGGTTCCCCCGTGTTACAATAACCCGTGATGTTCAGCTGGGACTCCCCAGCATCCTGAGTCAGGGGTACATTTTGATCCTTTCCTCAGATCATTTTTCAAGGGTATCTGTTTATCCCCCTTTCAAATTTCCAGGAACAAACCACAAACTATTTGTGATCCTTTTGGAAAAGAACTGTGTTTTTTCTCTGTGGATGGGATCTTGGATGTGAACCGAACTCAAACCCAGGAGCAGTCCTAGCATAAACTGCACTGAAGCAGTGCCCAGCTGGTTTGTAGATCTGGTGAGATGAAATTCCTTTGGAAATGTTCTTGCTGTTCTTTACGGATGCTCTTGAAATAGCGAGGAGAGCTACTTTTCCTACAACCCTTTCCTTAAAGGCAGGACCCCGAAGGGCCATCGTCTGAGGCTGCAGTTGTGAAGGGTCCCCCCTCCGCTCAGAAATGATGTCCTATTTTTGCTCTCATGAAACAATCCCTTTTCATCAACTTTGTAGTGCTGATGCTAAATACCCATTTCCTAGACTTTTTTCTGTCTCTGGCTGTACTGCTGGCCTTAAGTTTTGTTCTCTTGGAAACAGGTAGTATGTTACGGACCTCACTTGTGAAGCATTTGAGATTGGCAGATGAAAAAGTAGAAAAACAGGGAACATATGGGTGTCAATAATACAATAGAAGACTTTTTTTATTGCCATGGTTTTAATGGAATTGCAGTAGGATTTTTATACAAGTGTCTGAAAGTCTATGACTTCAAATAACTCTGAACCTATGGATTTGTACTCTTGCCTCATTCTTGCTTAAATAGCTGTGACTATCATCTGCTCGATATATTAGCGGTCCCAGCACACATGCACGTGCTCAGGAGGAATAGACTTTCTTGGAGATTGCATTGCTAGAGCTCCTCGAATCTCCTGTCTTGTCACGGGACCCCGGCAGAGAGCAGCCACAGGGCTCCGGCAGGCAGGGATTTGTACCGCGTCACCCTCCTCGCTGGCGTAACGGCGGTGCCAGCGGGGAAGAGTCAGGCCTCTGCCCGTTATCTCGGCCAGGCGCAGCGGGTTATTCATCACGGCACCGAGCCCTGCCAATAAAGCTTTCCCTCAGCAGAGGGAGTTGTTTCTCAAGGTAATAAGATAGCATTATCTGATTGCATTTTTGTCAGGTCCGTCCTATTTATTACCTTACCTGTAATCTAATTTGTAATGTATTTGCCTGTTATTTACTCTATTTCCCCCCTATATTTTGTAATAACTTCCGCTGAAAGTCTGACCTACAAAACAAGATGAGGTTTGTAATCCAGCTTTGAATGATAACACCCAGGTGCCTTTATCTGGAAAAGCTCTCCTAGAATGGAGCGAGGTCTGGTAGGAAAAGCTCAGCACCCTCTGCAAATGTGTCGGGGGAATGCCGCGTTACAGCAGCCGAGGTCGCTTCATCCCAGCCAGGAAAGCACCAGCAGCTACCTTCTATTTGTGGCAAGATGGTCTTTTTGGTCAGAAAGCCATCCCTGCTCCAAAGGGAGGCACGTGAGAGGCAGCAAGCAGCCTATGCCAGTAGCTGGGGTGGGTAGAAGGTAAGAAGGTAATAAGCCATGTGAAGAGCCACCATTGATGTGCCTCAGCTGCTGAAAGTTGCTCAGGTGCTTCACCTTAGCTTTCAGGAGAAAGGACAAAGCAACAGTCTGGGGAAGAGAGCAGCCACCTGCAGGTCCCCTCTAGGTTGGGCAGAGATGTCTCATGGTGGCAGAGCTGGAGGGCGGTGGCCCAGCTACGCCAGGCACGGGGCTGAGGAAGGTTAACTGGTGTGACAAATGATGCACACCATGGGAAGAGGTGGGATTTTGAGGCTGGGGCGGGCTTCCCGCGTGGCATCTTGCTGGTGGCTCACCAGGGCCCGAGGGCTTTCCGCTCTCTCCCCACCTGGTTAGTTCTGCTCCCGCTTGGCTGCGCCGCTGCCGTTGCTGTAAAACAAAGTTCAACCTAAGCCTGCCTGCTGGACCTGGATTTTATTGTTCCAGTAAAGGCGTTTCAAAGTCAGATGGCCTTAAAACAAAGAAAGAGGAATGTCCCTTTTTGTGGATGCTAATGAAATTTTTATCTGGGCATCTTTCTGTGAATGTTGGGCCTGAGAGGCATGGATTATGTTAGGGGAGAAGGGCTTACTGAGCCCTGGAAATAAATCAGAGGAGGACAGAGGATGAAGATCACAAATGATAAATTAGCAAGTGACAGAAAACAACTGCAGGAAATAATAAAACCAGGAGGAGGATGTGGGAAATGCATAGGAGAGGTTGTTTACAACATGTGCATCGGACTTTCCAGCATTTGACATCTTATCTCCAATTCATTCCATATGTTACTTTATGCATGGATTCCTGTTTTTATGGGGTTTGTTCTATAGTTTTTGTACTAACATGAATGACTCACATCTGCTCCAATACTTAATTTATTCTCTAATGTCTTCTGCAAGGAATTGCTCAGCTCATACAATACTTACCAGTGGCAGGATCGGGAGAGCAGCGAGGCAGGCAGGGGGGGCGGC